ACTCTACTCAGGGCAACTGAGTAAGACTCTATCTCAAAAAGGAAAAAAAAAAAGGAAGGATTCTGAGTCCACAGCCAGGCTCAGGGAGGCAGGGGACTGACTAATACCATCTGCCAGGGTACGGGAAGTCAGGGCAGGGATAACTGTCTTCAGTACAATTGAATTTCATGGTGGAGAAAAATGAGGGTCATCTATTTGGCCAAGTTAATCTAATATCTAAAACCACCCCAGACTTCAAAATTAAATGAAAGTTAGAAACCTGTCTTTCACCAGCCTCAAGCTACTCCATGGCTTCTTACAGAGGAGCAAACTGAGGCTTAGAGAAGAAAATGACTTGCTCCAGGTCTCACACGCACAAAGGTTCAGGGTCGGCTGGGAAGCCCAGAGAGGCCTACGCTGCCCAGGGGCTGCCCTCACTCACCCCGTGGCTGAAGGTGATGACGATGAGGGCAATGCAGGCAGAGATGGCCACCAACAGGAGCGTGAGCAGCAGCGGCCCGTGCTGGCTGGTGAGCCGGTACCTCTCATAGAGTACATCGTGGTCCGGAACCTCCTCACCCTCGTTGAGGGAGTAGCACCCCTTGGCCGGCATCCTCTACCCTTGGCACACACGCCTACAGGGCCTCTCAGGAGGCCCCAGGGGGCATCTGTCTCCTGACGCCTCCACTGTGGGCCTAGGCCTCTAGCTGGGGAGAGGCCCCCACGCCTGCAGTCCCATGGGCAACACGGGGTCTGCACAGCTCCAGCAGCCAGGCCTCAGTCACTGTGCCACCAGCATCTCCCTGTACGTCCAGGCCGGGCTGACCACACACACAGGGTCCTCAGCTCTGCAGAGACAAAGTAGACCCAGACCTTGACCTAAATGGGCCAAGTCAGGGAAGGGCTGGCATCAGGGCCCAGCGCCCCTGACCTCCAGCCTCTATGTCTGATTTATCCACCTTAACCTTGACCTAATTTTTACGTCCTGTTTAAAGTGTTGCCCACCCCCAGTTTATAAAACTAGTCCCCTGTATTTTCTAGAACTGTGCTGTTCAAGACAGTAGCCTCTAGCCACAGTTGGCTACTTTATTTTAAAATAAAACATAACATGACGTCCCTCGGTCACAATAGCCAAGTGCTCAACAGCTGCGAGCAGCCAGCAGCTGCTGCGCTGGACAACTCAGGCCGAAGCTCTCCCGTCATGGGACTGGCTGGAGGCTGACTGTTCAGCTCTTTGACCCACCTTGATTGCTTATGTGTGTGGTGTGAGGGAGGGGTCAAGGCTCAATTCCTTTTTCCAAGTGGATATTACCACACCCAGCACTGTTCAGTGAACCAACCATCCTTTCCTCACTGAATTTCAATGCAGCTGCTTCTGCCATAAATCAGGTGACCGATCGTGCACCAGACACCTGCCTCCAGGTTTGTCCTGTTCCCACAGCCCTGGGGCAAACATCACATTCACTTAATTACTGGGACTTTTCAGTAAATCTGGTACCTCCAGGTCCAGAGGGCTCCAAATTGTGATCCTGGGGCTGGGCGACCAAGGCACAGTGGTTACAGCATCAGCCACAAACACTAAGGCTGGCCAGTTCAAACCCAGCCCAGGCCAGCTAAACAACAACTGCAACAAAAAAGCCAGGCCTTGAGTTTGAGGTTGCTATGAGTTATGACACCACGGCACTCTACCCAGGGCAACATAGTGAAACTCTGTCATAAATAAATAAATAGGGCAGCGCCTGTGGCTCAGTGAGTAGGGTGCTAGCCCTATATAACGAGAGTGAGTAGGGCGCTGGCCCCATATACCAAGGGTGGCAGGTTCAAACCCAGCCCCGGCCAAACTGCAACAAAAAATAGCGGGGCATTATGGCAGGCACCTATAGTCCCAGCTACTTGGGAGGCTGAGGCAAGAGAATCGCCTAAGCCCAAGAGCTGGAGGTTGCTGTGAGCTGTGATGCCACAGCACTCTACCGAGGGTGATGGAGTGAGACTCTGTCACTAAAAATAAAAAAAAATTGTGATCCTGGGAGCCTGGGATTTGGGGATATGGCCAAGGGCCCATATGAGATTGGGAAGCTAAGGGACACAGGCTCAGAGCCCCATGACCACTTCAGTCAGGGCACTCTCCCACATCTGTATCACATTAAGCTTCTACACGAGGCCACCTTTTTTTTTTTTTTCCCCGAGACAGAGCCTCAAGCTGTCCCCCTGGGTAGAGTGCCGTGAAGTCACAGCTCACAGCAACCTCCAACTCCTGGGCTCAAGCGAGTCTCCTGCCTCCACCTCCCAAGTAGCTGGGACCACAGGCACCCGCCACAACGCCTGGCTATTTTTTTTTTTTTTTTGGTTGCCGTCATTGTTGTTGTTTGGTGGGCCCGGGCTGGATTCAAACCCGCCACCTTAGGTGTACGTGGCTGGCGCCTTGGCCACTTGAGCCACAGGCGCCGAGCCAAGGCCACCTTTTCTTAAAAGAGCACACTGACACAGATGCAAGAAGCTCGCAAGCCCCCCGTCACAGGAAAGGAAGCTGAGTCTCAGGGGACACGGAGGACCCACTGTGACAAAGTTGGGAACAGACTCCAGGTTTGCAGTGCTCGGCCATACGGGGCCCTCTTTCCCCAACACCATGTATTCATTAGCTCATTCATCTACTCCAGCTTGACGATGAGCCTATGGCCTACCGGATCACCGCACCCATGGGCTAGGCTGGCTTCCAATCTCCAAAGGGAGAACATTAACAAAACACAGGCAACCCCTAGACGCAAACCCCCTAGGGGTTTGGGGACAGCTGCCATATTCCCAACAGGAATTTTGTGTTAAGGGAACATTCCTGGACTAAGAATCCAGGGCTCCAATGTCCTCCAGGCCTGCCTTGGACAAGGGGCAGGTAGGAAGCAGAGGACAAAGAGACTGTGAGACCTGGGAACGTGCAGGACAGTCCAGCACAGGCGGCCAGTCACCAGCACAAGCTACAAAGAAAAATGGGTCTAGAGGAGGGAAGGTGGCCAGACATCCTGAAGGCAAAAGAGCAGGGTACCCAGAGTCCCCAAGTCCAATCAGCACCCACTGCTGTCAGGTCCCACAGCTGCCTTAATTTTAGGTGCCACCTTGGGGCCTGTTTTCCCTGAAAGTTTCTATCCCCTTGCCACAAACCCCAGGGACAAGTAGAAAAGCCTATTTGGGGGTGGAACACGGAGCCACGTGCCAGGGATCCTTCCTGGCTCCTTCCATGCCCAGACAGGCGTCCACCATCTCTGCCACCTGTTTAACCAGCAGCAACCCTTTGAGGGTCAAACCCAAAGTGCTTAGATAGCACAAATCTGATTTCTTTTTTTTTTTTTTTTTT